GTCCCCGGGTTACGTACAAGATAGGGACTGTAGGTTTGTTCTTAAGTTGAATCTGTATGTAAGTCAGAACTGGCATCCAGATTCAGCCGCTGCTGAATCTGGACGCCAGTTCTGACTTACATACAGATTCAACTTAAGAACAAACCTACAGTCCCTATCTTGTACGTAACCCGGGGACTGCCTGTACTGAAAATAGCACCATGGCCTCAGCTTCAGCCCCTGCAAACTGCTTTACACATTGAAAGTAGAAATGAAAGGGGCAGGGGGATAACTAAGGGGAAGGTGGGGGCGAGGAGGGGAAGGGGCTTGTGCTGAGGAGAGAGGAGGCGGCCAGGACGGAAGAAGAAAGGGCACTAAGGGGCAGGATGGAGGACAGATGAATGGCAGGGGGGACAGAGGAGACAATGGGGGAAGGGCAGGGGGTGTGCTGAGGAGAGAGGAGGCGGCCAGGACGGAAGAAGAAAGGGCACTAAGGGGCAGGATGGAGGACAGATGAATGCCAGGGGGGACAGAGGAGACAATGGGGAAAGGGCAGGAGGGGGGAAGGGAGGGAAGCTGTCAGTGGAGTTGGAAGGGGACAGGGTGATGCTGGGAAAGGAGAGGGGAGGGGCAATGGGGGCAAGAGGGAAGAAGAGGAGAGGGGAGGAGGGGGTGCCAGGAGAAGAGGGGTTGAAAGGAGGGGTAGGCATGAGTAAGGCAGGGGATGGGACAGAGGAGACAATGGGGAAAGGGCAGGAGGGGGGAAGGGAGGGAAGCTGTCAGTGGAGTTGGAAGGGGACAGGGTGATGCTGGGAAAGGAGAGGGGAGGGGCAATGGGGGCAAGAGGGAAGAAGAGGAGAGGGGAGGAGGGGGTGCCAGGAGAAGAGGGGTTGAAAGGAGGGGTAGGCATGAGTAAGGCAGGGGATGGAGCAAGTAATGTGTGAGACACAGAGGGACATGAGGAGAACTGGGGCAGAAGGTAGTGAGGGGGCAGGCAACAGGGAAAAAGAGAGAAAAGGAGGGCAGGGGCAGTGAGGGAAGGAGGTGGCACCAGGAAGTGCAGGATTAAGGGAAGGTGCAGGTGCCAGAGAACTGGGGCAGGGGTGAAGCAAAAGGACAGACTCGTGGAGGGGAGGGACAGGAACCAGAGGAAAGAGGCAGGGCAGGTGGGTAGACAGAGGGAGGTGTTAGGAGAGGGGATGGGGAGGGATAGCTACAGATGATCAGAGTGGGGCTAGAGGAGGAATAGACACAGGGGAAGAGAAGGGCAGGTGCAGGGGTCAGGGAGGAAGGAGAGGGGAACAGGTCCCCAAAGGGCTGAGAGGAGTGAAAAGGGCAGGAGCCAGGACAGCAGAGGAGGGTGAGGGGTAGGAGGGCAGAGGGCACTAGGGGGAGAAGATGGGGCAAGGGGAGGGTGGGAGACATGGCAGCAGAGGGAAAAGGGAGAGGTTTATAAGTAAGGTATTATTAACTTGGGTGCCACCATGGCACACATCTGCACAAGCACACAAACTCAACAGTGGTGCACAAAACTCACTTCACTCATGGGTGGAAAACCTTAGAGGGAACATTGGCCGGGACCTGTTTGGGGGTCCGGCAGGGAACTGCTCCGGTGGCCTGGGTCGCATGGTGGAGGAATTACTCCAGAGGCCATGGGGGGGCCGCATGGTGCTGGTTGCACCAGCAGCCAAGGGGCTGCTCCAGCTGGTTGCAGGGGACGCTCCAGGGGCCAGCTCCAGCCCTTTCTTAGGGCTGGAGCTGTGACCTGGGGGCCCATACCAGCTGCCCAACTGCTCCCTGGGCAGGCTGTGTGGCATCTGCCCTAAGCTGGAGGCGGGTTGTGATGCGGCCGCTCCTGGGGCTGGGGCCCCTGCATCTCTTTCCTCACCTCCTGCACCCCTCTTTCATCCCCCCCCCCCATGCCTCACTCCCTGAAAACCCTGGGCACTGGCAGCAGCTTCCCTCTGCCCAGGCAGAGACTCTTAGCCAGCCCCACGAGGAGCAGCCTGGGGCAGTCCTTGCCCTGCACACAGGCCGCCT